TCTTTATTTCTTCTGTAGAGAGAATAGGAAAGGCAAATAAACAGATACATAAATTGTATGGAATAAAAAAAAATTCACTGAGTTGCTAGCCTATTTGAAAAAGGTGGCAAACTGGCTAATTATTGACTACTCTGGCCATGGGTGATCTGCTGGGTATGGAACCCAGGGCCTTGTGCATATGATTCAAATTTTTGTAGAAGCCAAATGACAATAATAGCAGTGGCAGATAATGCAGTATCCTCTGTTGTTTCACTTTGAGCTTAAATTATTTCAGTATTTTCTCTAAATATTTTGAAGAAAATATTTATAGGTATTAGGCTATGTGTTATTGTTTGAAATTTTATAACCTCAAAAATGTAAGAATTTATAGGCTAAATCATGTAATATAGATAAATTAGGAAAAAAATAAAAAAAGATTGTCAGGAGTGATGTACATGCCCATAATTCTGGCACTTGGAAGGTAAAGGCAGGTGGATCACTGGAGTCCAGGGGTTTGAGGTCAGCCTGAGCAATGTAGTGACATCCTATCTCAAACCCCCGAACCCCATTAAAAAATACCAAAACCAAACCAAAATAACAACAAAAGAGATTGTTGGTATTAGAGCAAATCATGAATTATGGTCTTATTTCTACTATGAACTAGTTATGTGACTTTTTAACATTAATTACCTATTATGGACCTCAGTTTCTCACCACTCCCCCTGCTTTTTCTTCTATTTTGCTACATAATCTTTCAAAATCCAATATTTCCTAGAAGTCCTGAGCACTCATCCATGGTCCTTCACCCATATGCTCAGGCCCAGCCACTGCTTAATCCCTTGGGTGCCATGGAGTCTGTTGAAATCTTAACTAGCTGATTTTCTGGTTCTGGAATTTTAAAACAGCATTAGTGTGATGTAGAGTTGGCTGGATTAGGTCAAGGTATTAGCATATGGGCAGCTCTTTTTTTAAAAAAATATTTTTAGATGTAGATAGACACAATAACTTTATTTTGTTTATTTTTTTTTAATGTGCTGGGGATCGAATCCAGTGCCTTAGATGTGCTAGGCAAGTTCTCTACCACTGAGCCACAACCCCAGCCCATGGGCAGCTCTTTTATGACCCACGTAATCCATATATTTTCAGTATTCTGGTTCTACTGTAATAACACACACAGACACACACATATACATACATAAAATTTATTTTTATGGTGCTGCGGATTGAACACATATCCTTACCCATGCTAAGGCAAGTATTCTATCACTGAGGGATATTCCCAGCCCCTCTCTGTATTTTACTAAAAGCTGCCTTAAATTTAGTTTTTGTATCATACAAGGAATAAATTATCAAAATATTTAAACAACTTTAATTACACTCTTTCAAATTACTTAGCAGTATGAATTTCTACTGCTTCTTGTCATACTTAATATGAAATTAATCTCTAGAAAGAACTCAAATCACATATTTTGTATTTTCTTTTACTTGCTTAAACATATCACTACTGAACAAGCATGTTTTAATGATGTATTCTAACAACAAATGATGATAATTTTAAAAGAAGAGAATATGTAAATCTCCTCGGTGTCTAGGGCTTTGACTGTCCTGAGCTCATTTTTCCTTGCCCTCTTCCAGAAAGAGAAAATACATTTTTTTTTCTTATAGCTAAACTTTTTGTTAAACTTAGTTTATTGCTTTTGCCTCCATTCAAGTCTTCCATCAGTATGTTTTCTGATCTCAGAACTGGTCACACCAGGTCACCAGTGCCCTACCTTCTGCTCTGGGACACCTTTTTAAGAAATTGAACAAATTGGAGAAGAGACTGGACTGGGAAGTGAGGAGGCTTGAAGTCATATGACATAAGGAAGGTTGAAGACCATGGGGAAGTTAATCTGAGTATTTTAATGGAAAGGGTTAGTCAAGGGAGCCACATTGCATTTTTGAAAGGTTGTCTTGTGTAAGAGTAACTAGAACCCTTCAGGACAGCCTCAAGGGGAAGAATTAGGAGTTTGATAATTTGGAGCTGCTTCCTGTAGAGCTTCCTAAGGGTTTGCAAGCACCCAAACATGGACTACAGGATGTTCTAGCAGTACTGGAACAATGGTTGCATTAAACTTACATGTTGTTGTTTTAAAACTCAAAAAACATTTTCTGTGCTTTCCTGCTAAATTTCTACATGTAACATTTCCTTCTTTTTCCACAGTTGAGCAACATCTTAAATCTCTTAGTACTTCTTTTACAAGTGATACACCTTATTGTAGCTTAAAATGAAACCCAGTTCCTTACATTTACATGAAGTTGGGTGGTTAGAAGTTTCTTCCATTATCTTTCTCCATAAGCTCTAAAAGCATGCCTTTATTATGAAACTACAACCAGTAGGAACTTTGACCTCATGATAATTGAGAGAATAATGTATTTTATGATCTCATTAGAACCTTGGCATGTATGTGTGCTGTGTGTGCACAATCTCATATTTTTCTTGTAGAATTTTTTTTTGTGTGTGCCACTTACATTGAGAAGATTTTGGTTTAGAGAGAATCTATCATACTGACATTTATTTTCCTTTAATGTAACATTAAAACAAATATTATTTATAGTTTCTTGTTACTTTCAAAAATTTCATTATAATATTCATATTGTAAATATGCAAAAGAAAAAAAAACCAAGGATTTCATTTTAGTTTATTTTAAGGACTTCTATCTCATAGGTCTCAATTCATTCCTCATGACCAAAATTTCTAAGCAGGAAAATTATATGAAAGAAAATGCTTTCGGGGCTTGGGATGTGGCTCAAGTGGTAGTGCACTCCCCTGGCATGCATGAAGCACTGGGTTCAATCCTCAGCACCACATAAAAATATAAATAAAGATATTGTGTCCACCTAAAACTAAAAAATAAATAAAATCAAAAAAAGAAAGAAAATGCTTTCGTAAATTCATTTAAAGAAATACCAAGAGAGTATTCAAATAGAATTGGCTTCTCTGGAAGTGTAGATTTGGCATTCTTTTCATGAGACTATTTATGATATTAAAAATTTATGCATTCAATGAGAACTCCAGCTGTGTGTGTGTGTGTGTGTGTGTGTGTGTGTGTGTGTGTGTGTGTATGGAGTTGAAGATTGAACTTGAACCCAGGGCCTTGTGCATGCCAGGCAAATGTTCTATCATTGAACTATACCCTGTCCCCAAATTCCATCTGTAATGCACTTTTCCTCAACACCCAGGTGAAAAATTCTTAGACAATTTAAGTGAATTTAGATTCTATAAGAATTTTAAATCAGCAACTTTGGAAATAGATTGCCATCACAGGATTTATTTAACTTTTTAAATAAAAAAAAGTTGTTTGATTCATACACTTTGTTTTTCAATTAGAATTTTGTCAATAAAATCATATGAGTTGGCCAACATGATTGTTGACACTAAGAATTGAAAGAGTAAACATCAGGCAAAATATAACTAACTATTTGCACAACATGTTTGAGAGATGCTTTGTTCTTTAGAACTCTGGAGCCCCAGCTAGTTGATCGCATTTCAGCACTCATTGCAAATCATTGCAAATCATCTTTTCAGGCCTTTCACACTTTTAAAAACTTTTGAGATGCTCTGGTGCTCTGGTGATTCTTCGGGTTTACCTGGTTCTGGGCTTAAAGATTTGAATATCAGGGTGAGTTCTGTTTTTATCTCACAAGGACATGTTTGATTAGAATTTCAGAGTGTCTGAATATTTTTTTCTGAATATCAAAGTGTTTTTGTGCCTGTTTCTCTTTCGCAGACCAGCAAAGCATGGTAAGAGTCTGAGACCAGAGTTGAGCCTCAGAGCTCTCCCTGTCAGTTGCTCTTCACTTCTGCGCCCCCTTCCTCTCCAGAGGTAAACAGCCTTTGAGCTGGAAAGGACTGGGACAAATTCCTTTCTGCTTCGGAAGAAAGCACTCAGAGCGCATGCTCTTCTGATAGTGAGTCTGTAGCGCCATTTTCGTATGAAAAGGACTGCCCACTAATTAGGCATGTTCATTGGATACCTAGCATTAAGTTGTTCAAACAGTTTGAACAGCCTCGCAGGATCAAGTCAAGGGCGTCTTTGGGAGGAACCCTCCCCTCTCCGCAGCGCTTTAGCTGAGAATTTCTTTTGTGTTAATTTCTCTTGTGGACGAGTCCCTTTTCCCTCCTCTTTCTCCGCCCAGACTGGCCAAAGCTGTAATTCCTCTCCCCCTCCCGGACCAGAGCAATACAAAGATTTAGCTTTTGTGATGATTTTGTGCTCATAGTGGCGCCCCAAGTAAGAGGACGTGGAGAACCGGATGGGAATGTTTTTCCCCCCAGTGAGAACAAAGCACAAGTTATATCAAAGTCAAGTATGTGTAAAGGAAGCGCTAGGAGATAGGGCTTCTTTTTGATTTGCTTTTTTATAAAGACGCAGACCCCTCAGTGTTGTGGATGGGGGTTGGTCGGAAGGTCAGCTAGAGGTAAGGTAGATGGTAGAGAAGATCTGGGCTTTAAGTGTGTTTGTGTGTGTGTGTGTGTGTGTGTGTGTGTGTGTGTGTGTGTAAGCGCGCGCATGCAGGAGTTTAAAAGAACATGGGCGAGGAAAAGGAGAATGAAAGAAACAGGAAAATCTGCAGTGGAGAAGACAGTAGGTGCAGAAAAGGATAGGAGGCCAAGTAATCCTTGCCGTGAAGTCGCAAAAGCGCCCTTGGTGACATCCACTCTCAAATCCCACCATTTCATTCATAAGTTTCAGGCCTGGAGGCCCCGCCCGGCTCCCCTGAGCCGAGGGCTCAGTTTCCTGTACAGCAATTGGTGTACGGCAACAAAGCCTTAGCAACCGGCTCCTAGTGACCCGCAAGGCGCCTGGTAACAGGAGCGCAGGGCCGGCTCCGAGTAAGGAGCGGAGCTGTCTCTTTAAGGGATGGCCGCGGAGCCGTGAAAGTGGAGGGGGCTGAAGGAGGGCGGGGAGGAAGGTCTGGGGGCGGGCCGAGGGGGAGGAAGAGTTGCTGCTGAAAGGAGGTGGCAAAGGAGGAGCCGGAGCAGCTGCTGCCAGCCCGCGGGCACCGGAGTCCTGCCCGCTGCCGCACGAGTAGCCACGGGCGCGATCCTGGCCAGACGTCTCCTCCTCCATGATCACTTTGGGAGCCGGGGGAAGACTTTGCCCGGCCGTGAGAGCTGGTCTGCGTTTCCCAGGCGCGGCGGCAGAGCAGCAGCAGCAGCAGGATCCGAATCGGAGCGGCCACAGCCCGGGGCGTGTGCGCCCCGCGCGGAGCGGGCTCGGGTTCCCCACGGAATGTCCCCGGGGCGCCCGGCGCGCTGACCCCGCAGCCACCTCCGCTTTTGGCGCCTGCTGCCTCCCTCGGGCAGGCTCGGTGTTCGGGACTGCGAGCTTCCCGGCTCCTGGGCAGTGGGGAAGCCCCCGGGGGCGGGTGACCTCAGCTGGCCACGACCCAGCCCTCCCCCGAGCGTATCTCGCTTAAGATGGCAGCGGAGTCAGGGGAACTAATCGGGGCTTGCGAGTTCATGAAAGGTGAGGAGCAGCCGTCCCGCATCCTTCAACCCTTCCACCCCCACCCCCCCAACTCTTCACTTCTTGCTCCTTTGTCCCAACCCCTGTCCAGGGCTTCTCCCGGGCCCCTCAGTGCCCTGCAGCTGTTGCGCGCGCTATGGTCCCTGCTTGCTACTCTGCTTTCCCCGAGGACCCCTTGCTTCCGGCTTCTCTTTCTTGCGTCCCTCGTTCCCTCTGCACTCCGTGGTAATGGGACAGCGCCGGCTTCTGCCGGGTCTTTTCCACTTAGCAGCTGGTGGGGAACTTGCTCCTGTGAATCCTTTCGGTTGCCTTTACCCGGCCATGGCTGGCCTCCGTTTTCGGGACACCCCCAACCACACCCCCGATCTCTCCGGTCTTCCTCTTCTTGAAGTGCAGAACTGCAGGGAAGAGGCTCGCTTCTCTTCCCCTTACGCAGCTGCTGAGGTCTGAAGATTTCGGAACCAAACTTGCATCTCCAGTTTTGCGGGTACCCGCAGCTCCTGTCTACACCCGCAGGCCTGAAATAAGGGGGGTGCGGCGCGCTCTGCCCCTAGCTGAGGTTCTCCATCAGGTCCTCTTCTTGCCTTTCTTAACTATTATCCTATTGGGTCTGTGTCTGCTTTCTGGGAGAGATCAGGTTTCTGCAAGAATCCCACGTGTTAATGGGGTCTTTAAATTATGTGTAGCAGTTGTTATTTTTGAACTTTTGTGTATTTTCACACCCTTCATCTCACTTTCTTACTTCTCATATGTTTTCTTCTATCTTTTAAACTTGTCTTTCAGATCGATTATATTTTGCTACTTTAAGGAATAGACCAAAAAGCACAGTAAATACCCACTATTTCTCCATCGATGAGGAGCTGGTCTATGAAAAGTAAGTTTCTATTGTTTTCCCCCACCTTTACCCCTTTCAACAGTTTAGCTTGTTGGCTCTTAGATAATGAGACACTATGCACATTTATGGCAGTTTTATTCACTTCTTCCCTAATGGTGCAGGAAACAATATCAGGGTTTTTCTTTTCTTTTTTTGGCTCAGGTCTTTGGGAAGAATTACAGGGAAAAGTAACATTATTTGAACTTGTTCACATCTCAGACCTTTTTAGACTTCTGTGTATATTAATTCTTTCTACCCACACAACAAACAACCACTATAGATTCCTGACACTGCCCAGGTGGGACCAGAAAGTCACATACTCTATCCTTGACAGACTTTGTAATTGGCCTGTGAATCAGTTGCCAAGTATTTATGGGGCACCCACAGGGTACAGGGCAGTTTGCATATTGTGCTTAAGCTTTGCAGTTTTAAGGTTTCTGTGAACTGTAAGTGGTTTTGTTTGTGTAGCTTGTTTTCAGAAAGTGGGACAACATGAGCTGCAGGGAGTTGTATCCAAGTTCTATGAGATTTTACCTGTATGACGGATTACTGATTGAGTTATTTTACTTAGGTTCCCTGAACTTCATGGTATTATTTTCTTTGCCTTTGAGGAAGGTTGTATAGGAGTGTTCTTTTACTTTCTTTGGTTACTTTTCATCCATGGGTTAGGATTTGAAGAGTATAAGAATAGGAAACTGTCTTCTGTGACCATTGGTCTACAGAAAAAGATATTTTAATGCTTTAGGCTTAGTAAAAAATTAATTGAAAGGAGATAAATATTCAATAAAAGCAGTAGGCAATAAGGAATAAGAAGGCTGAATTGACTTGATTAGGTACTTTTATTAAAGGTATCAGTATATCATCAGAGGAGCCTATTGTATTCTAATTTAAACACTGAATTTCACTTTTTTGTTATCTTAACTGAATATGCACTTGAATGAACATAGTTAAATGAGCCATAATAAGCTTCCTAGGACTTGTCTATTAAAAAAGATATTGGCAGTTCTGCCTCAGGATTTTTGGGTACCAGCAGAATGAGTGTTCTGGACCTTCAAGAGCTATCTTTTATTTGAGGGAAAACAATCTTTAGTTGTCACTTTGTCATAGGGGTTCTTGAAACTGATGTCTTCAGGACATTTCTCTTAGTGGTGCTGGGAGGAGGATGCTTCTTGAATGGCTGAAGTGAGAGTGGGAATGAAAGAGCCCTTTGCTATTGCTCATGAATGCCCAGAGTTGCTGAGGCAGAGAGGTCGAATCCCTGGTGTCGAATTACAGCTCTGCTCCTAGACAGCATGGAGTTCTGCACAGCCTTCTTCCTGACCCTGTGTACCTGGATGATGTCACTGCCAGCAATGTTTACTTAGTGGTCACTCTGTTGTTGGGCATTGTATAGCTTTTCTTTTGTGAGTTTAGGGGTTAGGGACCTCTTGTGAATCTGAGGGTAGGGATTTTGTATGTTCCACTATGTTCAGTTCTGCAGTGACTAACGTGCCAGAGGTTGTTAATATGTCATTGAACAAGCTCCAGTCATTGAAGTCTGAGTCACTTCTCTTGGGATTGCTAGGCGGTGGATCTAGCAGAAAATTACACTTAGCCAACTAAATGCAATGTAAAATGCTTTTGGATTCTAATGTTGATAGATGAGGACAATTTTTTTTTTGTGATTTTAATGTTGGTTTTATAATAGGGCTAGCTACAAATTATATTCCTTTTTGTACCTATTTTACCTTTTTTTCTGGTATCTTGTAAGGAAAGACTTGCTAGAGAGGCTATTTGGTTTATTTTGTGAGTTTGGATATCATTTGAAATGATGAGGACCCAGTCTGACACAGTGTGTACTTGTCCTAGTCTGGACTTGCTCTCTCTTGTCACAGCAGTGGCTGTGGTTCTGATCATCCACAACCCATCTTTATCATTATCCCAACATATTACACTGTGCAAGGTGGTGCAGAGAGCAAAACAAGGATGAATGCACATGTTATGTTACCTTCAAGGAGCTCCAAGCCAAGAGGTGAGTAATAGGACTGCAGTTAGAGGTATAGGAAAGAAAACTGCCCTGAGAGAGATAACCCCCATGCTAGGAGGCATTCACAGGAAGGTGGGTGCATTTTGTGGAGGGGTTCAGGAAAGGCTTTATGGTGGAGTTAAGGCTGGCTTAGAGGATGGACAGTGTTTTAACAGGCAGGAACATGAGAAGAGAAAGAGGAGAGCATGCAAGGATGAGGAGGGAGACTCAGGTCGTGTGCTCTGGGGAACAGTCTGTCCTCCGCTTTGCCTGGTGTGTATACAGGTCACATGGGGAGATGTGGAATATGAAACTGAGAGGTCAGTTGGGGACAGCTTGAATGTCTGGGTGAGGAACCCTGGTGGAATACCATGGGACTCTCCTAAGAATTTTGGGCAGGTATGGTGTAACTGGATTCGTAAATAATAGCAAACATTTACTGAGTTTTTAAAAGTGTGCCAGATGCTGTTTTAGGTGCTCCACAACTATTAATTCATTTTGTTTTCACAACAATTTTATGAGGCAGGTGCTGTTGCCATCCTGTTGTACATTGATGAGAATAAAGGACAGAGAAGTTAGGTAACTTGCCCAAGGTTACGGAAGTAGCAGAGCTGGTATTTGAATCAAAACCATATAGTTCCAGAGGACACATCTTCTCTCAAACAATTGATATGACAGCATCATTTAAGACAGATTAGAGAGGGAGTAAGAGCCCACATGGAAAAATTCTGGGATATCCAAGGTGAAGAACCATGTGACTTGGCAATAGATTTGGTGGGCAGATTGGTGGAAAGCTGAGGAAAAAGAGTCAAAGAAGTTTTTAAGAGCCTGGGTGGTGAGCCTGCAGGTGCCACTAACTGAAACAAGAAGTAGGACAGCTTTGGTGAGACAATCAAGCATTCCATCTTGGTCAGATGGAATTGAAGAAATTTTAAGGAATAATCACATCACCATTGAATATGGCGTACATTTGAAATACTTAAATTTGGGAGTTTCAAACTTGAGATGATAAAATTGTAAGAATGATGCAGTTTCTGGGGAGGGAAGGAAGATATCAAGGTCTGTATTGCACAGGTAGAACAAGGGAAGGAACTGGAAGTAAGCAGCCAAGAGAGGTGGAAAACTCTGAAGGAGAGAGGGAGAAAGGAAAGAGGTACCAACGCAGTGGAATCTATCCCTTAAGCTCTTCTCTGTGGAAGTGAGGACTGGGAGAAACTGTAAGCCTCTGGAAGGACATGTAGCAACATGGGTTCTGTGGAGAAAGTTCTGTAGGGGAGAGATATCTTGGTGGTCACATCATGATGTGTGTGTCCCTAAGGTAAGGAGTCTGTTTATATGCACTAAAACACAGAGCCTCATATAGTTCTGTAAGTCTGTAATTATTTGCTGAATGTTTTAAAAAAAATGTTGCCTTTTTGGCTAAATTATCGTCTTAGAAACTATTAAGTGGGCTCTTTACATATTTAGACTGCATTTGCTCTGGACATAGCTGTGTTTCGTGCAGATGTTTATTTAGTTATAAAGGAATGATAGCACTCTAATTGACATGGCAACCTTCTAAGAAGCCAGTAGAGTAACTAACAAAGCAGCCTCATGAGGAAAGGCTATTAGAATGAAAGTTTTAATTTTCTGCTTGATTTTAAACAGGATTTACCTCATTATTATAAAAGTTTTAATAAAATGTGGATAATAAAAAAATCATATTTTGTCCCCAGGTTATGCTTTCACAAGTCAAAGTTAAAACAGTATAGGTTAACAAACTTTGATACAAAAATAGTTCCATAAAAAGAGACTCTTTCAAAGAAGATTTATTTGTGTTTGATTAAGCTACAAAAAATGCACAACTCTTCAGAAAGGCTAAATCTTTGGTGTTGGAATTGGGCCCTGTAATCCAAATACAGGCTTACTTTTAATAATGTGGCTCACTTTATTTTTTATTTTGGCCCAAGAATTATTGAAATTAAATATGTTAATTGTTACAACCTTTGTGTACCCCTCCTAATGGTCATCTCTGGTGTGGGGTAGGTGTTAATGTCATGGAAAGCCAGTTTGCTGTGAGGGTAGGGACTGGGGTCATCATTTTCAGCCTTGTCAATTTCATTTATTCTCTCTCTGGGTTTGCAAAGGAAAGGAATTCAAAGTGCAGAAAAGAACTCTTTATGGAGCTACTCTGGGAACTGGATTTTAAGGAGTTTCTAAAGTGACTCCAAGAAATTCACCAAGTATTGTAGCATGTCAAGAATGAACAACTTCTAATGAGGACTAAATAGATAAATGAAAGATTTAAATAATCGGTTTTCATTTAAACTTTATTAAAGCAGTCTGGTATAACTACATCCAGAAATCTTTTTTTTTTTTTTTTTTTGTAACAGTGATTGAACCCAGGGGTGCTTAACCATTGTTCCACATCCCCAGCCCTTTTAATATTTTATTTTGAGACAGGGTCTCTTGCCCAGTTGCTTAGGACCTTACTAAGTTGCTGAGGCTGGCCTTGAACTCGTGATTTTCCTGCTTCAATCTTCTGGGATTATAGGCATGCACCACTGTGCATGGCCATCCAGAGATTTTGGATAAATAATTAATAAAAGAACAATTTCTTCCTTCCTTTCTTTTTCTTTTCTTTTCTTTTCTTTTTGGTACCAGGGATTGAATCCATGGTCAATTAACACTGAGTCATAGTTTCAGCCCTTTTTATTTTTTTTAAAATTTTGAGATAGGGTCTTGTGAGTTGCTTAGGGCATTGCTAAGTTGCTGAGGCTGGCTTTGAACTTGTAGTCATGCTACCTCAGCCTCCTGATCTGCTGGGATCATAAGTTTGTGCCTCAGCACCTGGCTAAGAATGATTTCTTTTATCTCATCTGTTGCATAGGTTTGAGTTAAAATGTGATTATAAGGCATCTTTAAGTATAGGAAAACTTCTCTTGCCTGGAAATACTCATAGGAGTGAGTATTTAGGTTATATGTAAGTGAGAAGAAAACCGTCTGATTTTTCCAT